CTCGTGCTCAGTCAGCGATTAGCCTTACTAACCCTAACCCTGTCTGATTCTATTCGTAGCAGTGCGTCCTTCTTCCGTGTATAGTAGTTTGCGTCCAATTAGTATAATTTATCAAAATTACATACTCGATTATGTGATAATTCTGTTGGCTAGTTCAGCATGATAAATGACCGCTCCGTAGTGTGAGCCTGGGCATCCATGGCAGGAATGACACCAAACATTGACCATCTATGTTCATTGACCTAGTCAAAAATGTACAATATTGGCCAGATTTCTGCTGCAGTACGGTACCCGAAGACCATACACTCAGCCAGAAGTGACAATCAGTGTTCAAGCGCCCCGCAAGGTCCGGCCATTGCAGATCATACCTGGCGATTCTCTACCAGTTTTCGCCATCCCTTTGCCATATCTCGCCAATCTGGCCGTGTAAGACGGATCCCGGACATAACTGACCATTTCTTTCGCTTTTTTGCTGATGGTGTCTCATGGCAAAGGAACAACCACGTGGTCGGAATAAGGCGTCCTCAACTCCTCAATCAGCTCCCCGTAAGTCGTGTCTTACTGTACCCATTGCTACCCGCATTTCAGTTCTCAGCTGACATCCTATAGTCTCCTCGGCTCTAAGAGCTCGCTCAAACAGGCGGCGTCGCGGTAGGGTAATCTACATTTATTTCGCAAGCTATTCACTGATTCTCACTTCATATAGGGGGCGCAGAGGATGACCGGATCCTAGAAGGTGTAGAACCAACTCCAGAATCCGATCAGGAATCTGCCCAAGGCGACGACCCTTTTACCGACGCGGTAGGCTTTGTCTCCCCAGACCTGATCTGAGTTCCACAGTATACTCATCTCCATTGTCCGCAGTCTTCCGATGAAGGGGACGCCGAGGACGCGGATGATGCTTCCGATTAACTTTACGTTCATTGTAAATGTCTGTATCATGCTGTCGTATGTACCCGGACGAGACTTTTATCTCCAATTTGTTGAAGTCGTTGGAGCACTTTACACGGACGAGGGAGTATGTGTCGAACCGCAGAGAGTCCGCGCTACCGAAACCTTGATGGTTCGCTTCTCGCCATGGTACTTAGCTTATTGTCCGTATGCGATACGTCGACTTGCTGTCAGCGCATTCGACCCCGATACCCTGGTGCTTGAACCACTGTCCCATGGAGGCTACTGACATTCTGGAGGTCCGCGTCCATTAGGTAGACTAGGTACGAAGTCGTGTGATCCCACGTCTTGGACCACCGCGACAGACAAGCCAAACAAAATGATTTCATAGTCGTAGTACACGTGTAGGTATATACTTCCTGAAGCAGGTATCGCTTTACCTCAGCCACTTATGGCCGCGGGAGGGCAGGGCGGAAGGTCAGGATGTAGAACAGAGTCGTGAAGTTGTGGGCGATTACTCTGAACGACCGTATCAACCAATGCTCGCCCCTCACAGATAATCGGGAACGGAGACGCCATGTGCTAAGGGAACCCATCAGGACAGCAAATCGAGCCACGACGTCTTTCATGGTAGGTCGACTTGTCCGCTCATCATGTACCATGTCATTCACAAGGGGCGCTATGAAATCGAGGCCCTCGAATTTCTGCGAAGCGTGGTGAGGAAAGTTCAAGATGTCATGATCAAACGACATGCCTGGAGGAAGTTCTCCCGAATGACATTGCCCATGTAGTAAACAGCCGTCGGAAACGGATCGCACGGCTGGAGCGAACTCCGGAACAGTGCGATCCGTGCCCCAGATTGGCGGGTACCGAGGAGGGCCAGCAGCGGGATTGTGCCTGCGAGAGAGACCGAAGTCGATGAAGGAGTACTTCACAGGGCGCCAGGTGCGAGTATAACGCTTCGCACTGCCGGTCATCTCACGATTTTGTGAGACGTCCACGAAGTGAAACATGCGTGGAAGCATGGGGCGAGGGTCCATCATGATGTTGAACTCGCCGACGTCCCTGTGATGATGTTCAGAACGCGACCCAAAGTAAACGCGATGATTACGAACCTGTGGGCGACATAATGAATGTGCAAGAGACGGAGACCCTGGTTCGTCAGAGATATGAACAAATGCTGAGAGCGACCACATATAGACTATGCATACCTCAAAAAACTGCCTGAAGAACTCGACTGCCTCTCCGACAGTCAGGAGGCGGGGATCGGAGAAGGGGCGCAGGAGAGGCATAACAAGAAGTTTGTGATCTTCATCGTCAGGGACGTCGAGAACCTCGTGTACTAGGATAGAGTGGTGGTTCTTGGAGTCGGAAGCGAGAGGTTCAGAGGAGAGAAACTTGGCTATCTCTACCTCATATGGATGGTCCGTTTGTCTTACTCGTTTCAGTCCAACCATAACGTCGTCCGAAAGTCGCGTAGCGTCGAGGACGTCCGCTCTCTTACGGAGTGAAGGGGAGAACTGCTGAAGGATTATTCAAGATACTCACCGATGTGCGGTGCCCATCCTCGTAGTCAAAGATGGTACCCTTGCCATTTGCTCAAGGAGTCCAGTCTGGACTGTAACGAGGACGAAGCATATAGCCACGTTCTTGCAGCCAGGTTGGATGGTCTCGCCACCAAATTTCACTCGGACCTAGTTGACCACCAGAGTGGGATACTAGAGGCTCCGGTACTGGAGACTCTTCCGGGAAGGCCATAGAGGATGACAGGGCTACTGGGGAGTGGGAGGTCTGGAACAATTAATAGCGACGAATTGGGCGCTGTGAGACATCCAGATCAAATATATTTTCCCACGTATGTAACCATACGTCTGGCTGGCCCGGGAAACCGCGTGCTGCCCGCCATCCTTTGACATTAACTGGGACCTTCAGGCCGTGAACTTGCGACGGTCTCCGTGCTCAGACGACTGCTGATCTTCCTTGTTGTTCTTGCTATCGACAGCCTGAGAATCCATGTCCTACACACTTCGCCGTTGCCTCGGGAGTCCTTGTTCTTCGCGGTAATACTCTTCGTTACGGCAACACATCTGATCTTGCAGTGGTATGTGGCTGCCGATCACCTACCTCGGTTTCCCCTGCCCATGTCATCTTTGCCCTCGTAGTACCTGACGACAATTTGAGCATCCAACTTATGTCATTCACCCAACGTCCACGCAATGCGCGTCAGCTCTGTCAGGCTCGAACGCTCCCTCTGCCTGGGGGCAGTTTTCGAAGCGTCGGATCCGTTTTTATGGTACCGCTCAAGGGCTCTCGTTTCTGCCTCGTGGAACCATTGGATTGCATCGAAAGGCTCGTTCTGCTAAGACAATCGCTCCGAAGGTCATCGACAGTCGACGGCTGCTAGGTGATCATCTTCCCGAACGACAGTCCTTCATTCGAAGTACTTGAGCACAAGCACGAGGCGCAGTCAAACAAGCAACTGTCGGCACTTGAAGCACCACGTCTTACAGGGCATTCTCAAGGAACGCCACGGTACCTGGACTCCGATCGGGTACGCTTACGGCTCTTAACATCTGGCAGCTATGGGATTTATGTATTTTTTGCCTGTCGTTGTCTCCACGCGACCAAATTACCATCAGTACCTGTTGCTATGACGCATGTCCTTCCCTTGTGCATTGCCCGCAAGCAGTCTGCGGCACTCTAGGGAGATGGCATTGACGCTGTTAGTGCGCGGGTGGTATCGAGCATTACGTCCACGTATAGGCACGGTGTGATATGTATGCGAAAGTAAAGCCATGCGGGCGCACGCGCTGCTTAGGTCCCCGACAACAAACATGAAGTCCCAGAGACGTAAGGGTGATAAAGCGCCGTAGTACTAGCTTTCCAGGATAAGTACGTAATGAAGCGAAGATTGAGCCTCGACGGGTGTCGTATTCTGATAGACGGTGGGCCGCTGCATAAGGGTGACGGAGAGCGGGGATGTGACTACGGCTTGGGAAGAGCAGGGCGGAAGATGAGAACGTAGAAAATAGTCCGGAAAGCATGCGCGATCACTCTAATCGATCGAATGAGCCAGTTCTCGTTCCTCGTAGCGAGCCGCGACCGCAGGCGCCATGTGCTGAGCGATCCCATGAGCAGCTCAAACCGAGACACGACTTCCTGTATGGTCGGCCGCTTCCCTGGCTCGGTTTGAACCATCTCATCGACGAGTGGCTGCATAAAATCTAGACCGCGATACTCCTGCATTACGCGGAGGAGTGAGGAACGTCCCAGTTCGAGTCCAAAGAGAACGATCGCACCTGTAGAAGCACAGTACGGACGACGTTTCCTATGTAGTAGATGTCCGTCGGGAATGGGTCACATGGTCCGAGCGACCTGTGGAACTCAGGGACTGAACGGTCTCCACCCCAGATGGGTCGCGAACGCGGTGGTCCGGCCGCAGGGTCGAACTTCCGAGAGAGGCCAAAGTCGATAAAATAGTACTTCACAGGATACCGGGTGCGAGTATAATACCTCGCAGTCCCTCTCATGTCTTGAGTCTCTGACGGGCGGGCAAAATGGAAAAGTTGAGGGAACAGTGGTCGGGGATCCATCATGATGTTGAGATCCGAGATGTCCCTAGCGTGCGACCGATGAGTATAACAAGCGGTGAGCGACATCAAAGCAGACCTATCACCTATGGGCGACATGGTGCTCATGAATGAACTGTAGACCCTATTCACGTCACGACCATTGATTAGATTCGATTACTTGCCAGCATGGACGACTCACCTCAAACGCTTGCCGACAAAACTCCACAGCTTCTCCAACCGTCAGAAAGCGCGGGTCATAAAATTTGCGGAGTAGAGGCATCACCAATATCTGAATATTGCCATCCTCGGGGACTTGTAGTACCTCATGGATGGGAACGCAGTGATTCTTCGGATTCGACTTCAGAGACTCCGAAGTAAGAAACCCAGTAATTGCCACTTCATAGGGATGCTCTGTGCGCAGGACCTGCTTTAAGACGACCGTAGCACCATCTGCGACCCGCATAGCGTCGATGAGCTGCCCATGCTATGCACAAGTTCAGGAAGGAGCTCCGGGAGGAGAGGAAGAACGCACCGGAAGACGTTGGCCGTCCTCATAATCGTAGTATTTGCCCTTCCCAGCCAACCAAGATGGCACCCAGTCAGGGCTATAGCGAGGCCGGAGCAAATAACCTCGTTCTTGTAACCAGACCTGATGGTCTCGCCACCAGACCTCATCCTGATCGAGTTCGCCCGGTTTGATAGATGGGATTTCGGGTGGAGTGGATTCGGATGGAGTGGACATTTCTGAGACTCAGAGGAAGAGGCGGTAGGAGGGGCGGGGGACCTGGGAGGAGCCAACCAACGCGGACCCGCGTTATATAGACGCCCAAAGAATGATCTGTTGTTGTGTGCCGATAAAGCGGGGAACCGACAGTATGGAACGGCAGCAATCACTGCTTCTGGAGTACCAGCGAGTCGCCAGTGGCTGTTGTTGTTCTGCCATTGCACTTCTCCATGGCTGTCAGTCCGAATCCAAGCTGCAGCTACGAGGACCGTGATACACGTCTGATATAGCGGATTCTCACGGTGCGACCTCGCACAGATTTAAACGCAAGCCTCCGCGTCGAGGTCAGGCCTCCCCCCAGTCCAATTTGCGCTCCTCGTCCGTTTCTCATCCAACTCTCTTGTACACCCATCCCGATTACCATGGACAAAGCTATTGGCATTGCTGAACGCGTGACTCAGGATGCGGCCAACATCGCAACGGCATCCGGCGTCCCAGGCGTGGGTGTCGTTCGCTCGATCACCAACATCCAAGTTATTCCGACCCTCAGGCGTGTTGACGACGCAGTGAACAAGAGCCGAGCCGAGCTTCGGCGAGACGTTCTGCCCGTTCAGCGAAAGACCAAGCTTCAATTAGGCGTCGACGAGTAGGTCCATTGCCTACCCTTATGATAGAGCATTCACATGACTTTCCCCAGTATCGCAAACACTAGCATAGGAATGATGGAGTCCTACAACAAAGGCGGGTTCTTTGCGCATGTCAAGCTCATTCCTCGGGCGTCCGCCCTGGAAGGTCGGGCGACGGATCTATATCATGAAATCAAGGTAAGATTAATTGAAGCGTCCTTGTCATTTACTGATATCGAGCTTGCCAGCGTTCGTCGGACATCCACGCGGCCCATCTCGAGGGTGCCTTTGTCGATCCTGGTATGCTTGTATCCAGTCTCTGTCATGATTCCATTGCGTATTCATGTTTTTGGATTGCAGCGTTGGAAACCCGATCGTTGATGGAAGGTTGGGTCGGAGTGCATGTCGCCGATAACGAACAGTACCCGCCAGCGCCTCAGCCTCAGCCTGCACCCGTCGCCCCTGAAGGTGCGTTCCCATATATGTCTTGGGGGACGTCGACTAATGATGACTGCTTTCATCTCTATTTCCATTGAAGAGCAAGCATTCCCTCCCACAAGGACACCGGAGGCCATATCGTTGCGTGTGCTCTCCACTGCAGACCACACCGTTACTCATGCATGACGACCTTCTCCCATCGGCGCTCAGCGGATATCTTGCGACGTAGTCTAGACAGATGCCTGGTGCTCACGATCTAACTGCACCGTGAGAGGCTGCTGCAGCTGAACCACGGCATGCATTCATGCATTCATGCATTGGTCCTTGACTACGGGCTTGAGCAATGTCAATGTCTCGCTGACTGTACTCAGTTCTGTCCGTGCATGCAAGTTTCCCCTGCATTTGACCGTGTGATGTACCGTACACTTCTAATACCCGGGAGCAAGCGTGCTACTGAACGTGAAATAAGATGCTTGCTGAGCGAATTATAGCTGTTGTTAGAACACTGTCAGATGATTTTCAGAACATGCAAGTAGCTGACCGTGACTTAAGTACTCAAGGTTCAGAGTCGGTCGGGGTCCTGTGGGGTTTCGCAGTTGATCGCTCTAGCAACCTCTCTGCCTCCCTCAAGACGTAGTTTCAGGGTCTATATTTCTCGCACAAATACTGTCGGTCCTTGTCATTCCTCCAGAGAAGTATCGGTGACGTTTGACGCAAGTGTAAACCTCCAGAGCCGAAGGGTCGATTTGGGCGCTCAGACGCCTGACTGCCTGCCTACTTCATTGACTTCAATGAGACATGCCACTTGATTACAATCCATCCCGCTCTTGTGCTCGCCCAACACTTACCGTCTCTGACGGCCAGCTATCTTCGGTGGCCTTTACAGCCTTGAGCCTCGGAAACATCGTCCCTCTCAGCTCATTGGGCCCCCTCTTGCACTCCCCATTGGAAATGTTTCGTCCTCTACAGTCCCGGAACGACACGCAACTTGATAGCTCGCTTCACCGATTGCCAGTCATGACTCTGCTAGGATGCTAGTACACATAGCCATCCGGAGCGGACGGTGCACGTTGACAAGCCTCAGACGAATCGCGATTCTATCGTAGTGGCGGATGGCCTCCTCACCAGACTTCATGTATGTTGCCAAATGTGGGTCTGTATCTGTGCAGCTGTTGACTGAACATACGGACCAACAATCGTTTATGGAAGGGCCGCGAAGAGCTCTTTGTGCAATTATCCTTGTCCGAACATGGCAATCGTTCGGCAATCACGCGCATGGTCCACATATATACCGGAGAATTCCGCTGCTTCCCACGACTACCCCAGGCGCAAGACTGCAGCGACTTCCTACTAGTACGCCGTGACGGGACTTGACGATGTGCACAGCACTCCAGCTGAGTTCTCCGATTCTTGACATACTCTGCAGGGGGAGATATTTACACGGGAACTAATCGACACTACGTGCCTATAGTACTATCGATCAACTTCCATGAAGTTCCGTATCGAACCCCATGCACGATCGTGTCAGACCGAACGTCCTTGTATTCACGGCAGGTTGACTACTTTGGGAGGTTGGTGTTAATTTGTTGCCTTCTCATCCCCAGGTATTGCCTGAAACCTGTATAGAAACCTTGTCTATGGTTACCTCATAACACCTGGGACCCTTGTCCCATGCGCTCCCGAATGACTTGGGCAGATTGCGTTGCTATACAGGCACAACAGGTCAACCGAACAGGCGGGCTCCCATCCCTTCTTCGAATTCTGACCTTCCCCTCGTTTTTTCTAGACTCGTAACAGCCTGTCGAGTGCCGAGCGAAGACATCTCTGTCAGTACTGGGACAATGATACTATTCTCGGCCCATCATTGTCTTCTTACCGCCTTCATCATGAAAGGTACGCTTATGCTCATGCCAGATACATACCCAGCGCCCGCATGTGTGTCCTAGGTTTATAGCATCGCGATGTCACCTTCTCCCGCATACCCTGGTGCATCAGATCCCTTCTACCCCGTCCTCCCAGCCATGACCGTTTCCCCGACTTCAGACGTCAACTCCGCTGCATCGACGTTTGCCATCCCGACTGTATACACCGACCTCGACCTCGGATCTGAGATCCGCATCAACCCTGACAACCTCCCTCCGCAAATTCGCGCCGCTCTCGACTCTGATGACACGTCCGACTTGTCACCCAGTGTAGTCGAGCAGATTCTTAAGTGGTTTGTCACGTCTAACTTGCCCCGCACGTTCAGTGCTAATCAACGGTTGCACAGTGCGGAACCTCAGATACCCGAGGATAAGATGCTCGTAATCACGAGACGCGTCGAGGAAGCTGAGCGCGCGGTCAAGTGGGAGCAGGACGCGAAAGCCTTCCTTAACATGTCATGGCCATGACGGTAGGTGGAGAGCTTCAGAACTATAGGATCCCTGCGTGCTAACGCTCATTGTCATAGAACTCCTTGAAGGCGCAGGCTAACATGCCTCAGTAAGGCATGGACGAGACCACGTAGGTGAAGCCTTTTGCTTGCCCTCTCGATTGGTCGCGAAGTCCGACTATCAGTATACCTTCGGGTGCATAGTTTCCGGTCGTAGACCTGTGTAGTAACCGTGCGCTCCGATTGTGATGTGTTTTGTATTGCTCGAAAATGAACGGTGCATCTTCAAAGCTACTCATGCGTGCAAGAGCTTCATAGTCAAAAGTGTTCCACCTAGGCCGCTCAGAAATTACTTCAGCAGTACCGACTATGACCCTAAGAGGTTCCTCCGCCGCGCCTACGTAGCTGCGGTTATGAGCGCATCCAGAATTGCTCACCTGGAAAGGTATGCGTTGTCCCCGCGTCGAGTGATCAATCTAACCGCGTGTCTTGAAGCTCGCCATCACAAGGAACCGTGTCTGTTGCACTAGAGTGCTCTTAGCAAGCGATGGCACCTCGCACGAGTGCCGGACTGGACTTAAGTCATCTGCCCCTGATAATGACCGTGCCAGCGCGATACATAGAACCAGACGCCATCCTCCGGCGCGCTGCCAGTGCATCGAAGAAGCACCATGTTGAGGCAGTCGGTGGGCGTATGTGAAGTTTATGTAACGTTGTCACCCACGTGTCGGGGACACCCCCTAGAGACATCGCCTCCAGCGACGGAGATCGTCATCATTGGAGACATGACGTGAAATTTCAGGAGACTTGCACCAGCGAGACGCTGTTATGGCGTACTAGTCACTGGAATGGGGCTACGTCTAGATCGAGGAGTGATTGACAAGTCCTCGGGAAGTACTAAGCCGGAGCTGTCACTTTGTACGAGACCGTTGTACGAGACCTGAAAACGTACCTATTTCTGTCCCGCGTCTTGCGTTCCATGGCAGCATCGCCATTTACCATCGAGAGAAGCGGATTCTTCGTATTATTTGAGTCGCCATCGCGATGCGCCGGCGCGAAAGCTATATACAGGGTCAGCGTGGCAGTTGGGTCAGTGCACAATCCTCAAAACAATTGTTTGCCCTCAAGCATGGGAACAAGCGGGATAGTGCTGATGAAGCTCAGCATGTGATCTCAGTGCCTTGATAGGAGTAGGGCATGATGAAGCAGACGTTGCGAACGAGCCTCGACTCCTTATCGCCCTGCATTGAATGACACCTATCTACTAGCTTGCGATCAGATGGGTGGAAAGGCGCGTCGCCGAGCAGCACGCACACCTGGACCCACCAAGGCAGAAGCTGGGACGATAATCAATGACGCAGCTACGTCCTCATTTCAGGGAGGAACTCACCTGAGTATGCTTCCTTGATGTGGGCAGAGCCGAAGCTGTGGATCTTCTGATGTAGCTATGGAGGCGAAGACATCGAAGCCGGCCGTTTTCGTGGCCATTCACATGGACATGGGAACTGCGTGACGATGCTAGTCTCGACCAAGACCGTCCGCGTGCCTCTCGCGTTCCCGTGCGAGGGGTTTGCGCCGAACCTAGTGACGATGCAATTCAGCGACAACGTTCAAACCGCAATCAGATTACTATATTGTGTTCAGAAATCAGCCGAGACCGAGGTTGAGGGGGTATCAGTAGCAAGTCATGAGTGGCGAAATGCTTTCGCGCAGCGGACAAACGTACGCTGGCCGCTGTGATGGGCGCGTGCCAGTCGAGCGCCCGATCGTGGCCGGTCCACGTCTCCGGTGCGCATCCAGCCAAATCGCGGCCGACTCGAGCTGGCTACCGCCGTTCACTTGTTCTCCTCCTCCGCGTCGCTTATATGGTTCTGGGCCGTCGCACTTGTAGTGTATTCGACCGCATTTTGTATCGAATGGTGAACGACACGAGCGCCTCTCAGGCTAGTGATCCCATTTGTAGGGTCCGTCATGGAGTCCCAACGATCCAAGGACATTTGATATCGACAACTGATCTCAACATTGACTGACGTCCTAAAACAGAGCTACATAGACGAGATTTAAGCAACAGTGCCACCAGATTATGCCAGTACGGCTACAGGTCGGGTCACCTAACGTGGTACAATACATATACATCAGATCGCACCTTCTTCACTGAGGCCCGGGGGAACATGTACAGTCAGAGGCGTCTGCCTGTTCGTCTACTGCAGGTGTATCAGAGGTTTCGTCAAACCCCTGGACGGTAAATTCGTCAGAGGCTTCAAGAAAATCCTCGAGGGCATCTTCGAAGGCCTCCGCCTCTTCGTCGGTGAGTTTGACAACCTCAAGTTCCTCTGAGGCGGTTTGTTGACCGAGGACGACATCGTCGTCTGTGCCCTCAGTCTCATTCTCGCTCTCGTTTCCGCTCGTGTGCGACTTGGTGGTGTGACGTTTCTTAGAGCCTAGTTTCAAAGGTGAAGATGAGGCTTTAGGGTAACGGGAAGTCAGTCGAGTGCTTACGATTAGAGGTCACAACACGCTTCGTCTGTGTCACTGTAATACGACAATGACCGCTTGAGACAGATGACATAGGTCAGGATAACAAGACACACCTGAGTAAATAGACACGGATCTTCTGATCGTCTTCTGTTCGCTGGCTTGGGCAGGATTTTGCGTGTCAGGAATGACTTTGAAAACACTGTACCCTTGGTCTAGCCAGGCTTGAGCCAACAATAGGACAGGACATCAACTACAATCACTCACGATATGTTGCTGTTATACCGATGTTGGCGGGAAACTCCACATGTCCGTTAGGAGTGGAGATGCGAAGTGGCACGCCTGCCTGTGCAGCGGCAGGCACTATACGAGACCTTAGTGAGATACAGAAGAAGATGCTTGTTACGACCTACCTTGTCTAGACTCTATCGCTTGAGGACACCCAGGAGGCAGGTCATTAGCGGTGTGAACAGCGCTACCCGTCGGCGCGATAATCGCAGGGTTTGGGGGCGCCCGAGGGCTCTGGGTATTGTTGCTTGACTTAGCCACCTCAGTCTTATGGGCTTCGGCTGCTGCACGCCGTTCTCGTTCTGCCCGTTCTACCTTTCCCCGAGCAGAAGCAGTCTAAATGCGCCTCCGTCAGCCGCTGAACGTTGAGCGGTGTAAACACGAGAAAGACAGACCATTGCGTCATCCATGAGCTGGTTTGACAATCCCCTGAGCTCGCGCGCATGGTTGTACGTCTTGATCGGATGCTTCGCCAAGTCCCGCCATCGCGTTTTGGTGTTTTGTTTTGCATGGTCGAAGCTGGCACGACCATTAGCGGCTGCCTGCGGTTCTATGTGCACACTGTTAGGCAGAGCTTGGCTCACCGCTTAGTCAACTTTACTAGATGTTGGAAGTCTTCTCTTTGAATGGAGTCCTTATGCTCTTCGATGAACTCGCTGGCTTCGAACATCATCTTGATGGCTTGTGCTTTGTTGCGAGTCGGTGACGAGTTGTCATACCAGATGACGAAGGATTTGATGACGACCTTCTCCACGATTGTGTTCAAGGCATCATTCGGTTTAACAAACATATCGGGGATGATGCTACAATGGGAGGAATGGGAGATCGGAGAGAACGAGGATGAGGACGAGGGTGAGGATGGAGCGATGTGATCTGGAAATAGTACCTCCAGGCTGAGATATTTGTAGTTTCAGGAAAGATGCAAATGCGAAAATATCCCCTTGTACTGGGTCGATGACAGGAGTCCACGGGAAGGACTCGGACGTAAATGCTCACCCTCGTGCGCAGCGAGAACAGCCATTTGTGGGGACATGGGAGTATGTCTATTCTGGAATACAAAAGCGGCGCCAGAACCCAGGCCAATTGATGTTACTGAGCTGTGGACGTTCAAGAAGAGCAGGCAACGGGAGCGTGATCAAGTCGAGCGTTCACATATTTCAAATCACGTTATTGGCGCCTGCGACAAATACGGAGAAACAAGTCCACGCCGGGCATTGGCATGCAGGTACCTACTACCCTTCCCCCTTCCGCTTGCTCTCTTCATTTCATTCACGTCAGGATGCCTTCGTCAACTGAGGGACCTTTGTTTGGGGAAGGAGGTACAGCGAATCCTCACCCAGTCAGTGAACATGCGATCACGGGTGGCCTTTTCGACGACGAGTACTTCTGGCGGAATCATCAAACATGGCTCGCGGAAGTGGGCTACATGCTACGCCCACGCTACCGAATAGATTGGCAGCCATCGTGGTTCAAATCCAAGGAAAACATCCTTGACTGTGAGGATGGACAATCAACTCTGGTGAGTCGTACTGAATCGTCGTATCAAAGCATGATGCCTGATACTCTGCAGAGTACTACCATCCTGGACGCTACACGCATCTCTGACGGCCGCATCGTCGCATTGAAACAAGTTGATAGGTCTAGATGCCCAGACGAGGAAGATATTGCTCGTGCTTTTGCAATGTCTTCGACCCTTGCTGACGATCCTCGCAATCACACTGCGCCCGTATACGACATCTTGCAGTCGCCCTTGGACGAGAACGTCGCCTTTCTGGTGATGCCGTACTTACTCCGCATCAACAGAGTAAAGTTCGCCACCGTAGGCGAAGTGGTCGAATGTTGGCGACAGCTTTTTGAGGTAGGTTTTGTATACTATTCGCGGTGAACACCTGGTATGACGTTTCTGTGTCTGACATAGGGTTTGCAATTCATGCATCAGCACCACCTTGCACATTGGTGAGAACGAACCATCTCTGTGGCGAAACGTATATCTGATGAAGTGGTGCAGTGATATTCACTTCAACAATGTCATGATGGACACCGTGCCGTTATTGTCTGAGATTCCTCATCCCATCCATACCAACAAGAGCTACGACTTCAAACGTTCGATCAAGACGCGCACCCGAACATCCTATCCCCCCAAATACTATTACATCGACTTCGGGCTCTCATATGAATTATCCCCTGAGGAGCCTTCTCCTCGCCTTCGTGTTGCATTGGGTGGTGATAAGAGTGCCCCCGAATACAAGAATCGTGATGCGCCGCTCGACCCGTACAAGCTCGACATCTACTGCCTCGGTAATCTCATCCGAGAACGTTTCATCAATGTGAGTACGCCATCACAGTCTTATCAGTCGCTTCTCACCGTATGTACGGGCTCCTACAGAAGAGCCGTTGCTTCAATTTCATGAAGCCGCTGGTGGAGGATATGGTTCAGGTGGAGCCAGCGAATCGTCCGAACATGGATGATGCCTTCACGCGATTTGAATCGCTTCGTGCCTCCCTTCCACAGCGAGTTTTGCGCTCGCGTGTGGTATACGATGATGAACTTGGGATACCCAGATTGTATCGGGCATGCCGCCACGTCGTTCGTACCCTTTTTTGGATGGTGACTAGGATGCCTGCTCTCCCCAGTCCCCCTATGTCACGATAACGTTATACTTTTCTTGCTTCCTGCCTATCGCATACTGCTATCTGTCGCCCATGCTATTTTGCAATCTCGCTGTCACTGGACTGTTTGTAACGCGTCGTCTGCGCGTTTACTTAACTAGATTATATGGACACAGGATCGTTCATGGAAAGGCTGCGGATAGCTTGTCCCTGTCTGAAGAATGCGGTCTTTCGGCGGAGACGATACCGACATGGCTTGTCGTGCGCTTACGAAGTTTCCTGCTTTAGGTCGCTTCTATGTCTATGGACTAAATTGATGACTAATAGGCAGCGGTGTCCTGCTGCACGACGGCCGACATCGCGCCCCATTGTGGGCCTCAGGTCATGGAATCCATGGTGATGTCTTGCGGACCAGGCCGCGAGAATCCACGTCCATCTCAGGCTGTCGCGCTACTACTTGGAACGCTCTCGACACAGGACTCCTTGTTCATTGCCGTAAGGTTGTTTGCAACGTCCATCAATGCGTGACCCACTTGACAGCTATTTTGACATGCAGTTTTGCACCCGGCCCCCGGAGCTGTCGACTCGGATGCGCTTGAGATGGCAACTTGCACGCCCGCCGGACCAGGCTGCCCCACCTCCCACAGATTAGGGATAATAGGGATAATAGGCCGATGTGATACAAAGGATCCAGACAACATTCTTCGCGACGCATAGGCAGTGCTTGCCGATGTCTGACGCCGTTTGTAGGCGTATGTGAAGTTTACGCGATTCTGCGAGCCTCGTGTTGGAGATGAGCGGGCGGGTTACGGTATATGGGGTGTGATGCTGGGAAGCGGCCATGTACAAATTCAGGAGCCAACCACAAGGTCTTGTCGCATTCACGGCGCAAGATGTCAGATTGAACAAGGCCCCGAACACTTACCGATGCTTGTCGCGCGCCCCCGTTCCACGCTCGCACTGCCAGCCTCCGCGTTCCTATCACGACACGCCTGGGCGAAGACAATAAATGGAACAACGTAGTGGCCTTCCAAGGATCCGAGACATCCAAGTAGTGGTTTGCAGGGCTTGCACCTTTCCCCTGATCTGATCTAAACAGCTGAAACCGCATCGGTCAAACTCAGGTGCCGCTGGCAGCCGTTTTTGGGCGTTGCCACAACTCACGAGCGAATCACCATGGATGGAGCGATGTACGCCTCCGCGGCAGTGGTTGGTCAGGCACCCCGCCCAGCAGGGAACGTACCTGGACACACCGAGGAAGACGCTGAGCGACAATAGTCAACGGCGCGCTCATCTCCTCGTTGCGGGATGGGACTCACCTGACTCACTGTGAGTATGGTCCCTGAACTAGGGCTAGGCTGACGCTGTGCATGTCTTGAGACGACTACTACCAGAGTGAAGGGCTCGATCCCCCCATGTTCATGGCCGCTCACACGGGGAACATGACGATGCAGCCAAACGACCCGCTCGGGTCACGCCCGACTTCCCTTATCTTAACTGTGAAAGATAGATTGCAAGCACAGCGTACTAAAACATGTTGACCCCCGCTTTTCTACAAACGGTGAGCATCCGACACGAATGTACCGATGCCAGTCGTGGAGACACGCCGTGTCGGAATCATGTACCGGGTAGCCCGATGCTATGCACAGGTGCTGGACGACTAGGAGACAGGCAGTAGTACGGGTGGAGCAAGGCCTCTCGTTTGATGGCGCACGCCCATCCTCTCTGCTGAACTCGGGATCCGTAACATCGGCTTGAGCTGGAAGTACGACGTCACAAGCACTCGACCGTGACGGTGGACCGCTACCTGACGTCGTAAAGAGACCGTTCATACAATAGAGCAGTACAGCACGAAAGCCAAAAGTGAGAGCAACGACACGACAGGAGGACAGAATAGTTACGAAGGGAGGGGTATAGCGGCCTTGCCCGACACAACGTACTTCAACGTGCGGAAGAAATGACGATATGTTCGGTACCGTCTCGTGTAAGAGTCCTCCTTGACTTGGACTAGACGGGATCGCAGCTTGAAGAAACCGAGAGACTTCCACAAGTCGTCGAACCGACGTACAACATCGTGAATCGTTGGTCTCTTAAACGGGTCTTGCTGAGTCATGTCCTCGACGAGGGACTTAAGGAACTCAGCCCCGCGATATGGCTGACAATGGAAAGCATGTAAGCCGACGCCTAGGGACAGTCAGCGCGACACACCTCGAGAACGGTCCTCTTAATCATGCTCCCAAGATAGTAGATGTCGGTAGGGAAAGGATCAACAAGCTCCCCATTCCAGTTCTGGAACTCGGGGACGGACTTGTCTCCGCCCTCTATGGGATGTTCCCTCGGCGGCCCATCTTCTGGATTATATCGACGAGACAGCCCGAAATCGATGTAGTAATACCTGACAGGTGCAGCTGTCCGCGTTGTGTGTTTAGCTCGCGCTTTAAAATCAACAGTCCTGTTGGGTTTCCTGGGGTGGAACATGTTCGGATACATCGGCCGCGGATCGTACATGATATTGTTGGCATTGCAGTCTCTGGACAGCTCAGCAATAGAGATGATGAACTATGATGGATGATAACTACCTGTGTGCTGTGTGGTGATCGTGTAGCCACTGCATGCCCTGTAGGACAGTCGTGAGGGAGGTCCAGAAACCATCAGACTGTAATCATACCTCGAAGACTTGCAACAGGAACGATACGACCTCGCCAACGGTCTGCCACGGAGGACTTGCGCAGGCGCGAAAGAACGGTATCACAAGGATAGTGCTATCCGGGCTGTCTGGGACACTGAAGGAATCCCAAACCGGGATGGCATGGTTGCGGGGGTCCAAACGAGTGGCCTCAGACGAGAGATACTGGGTGATCTCAAATTCGTGTGGGTTCATATGAGCCAAAACCCTCTTCAGGGCGACCATAGCATTGTCAGACACGCGTACGGCATCCAAGAGGAACGGATTCTGTGAGGTCTCGTCATAACTTGCGTGATGGCCGTGACGAGCGACAACGCACCTCAATACCGTAAAAATCCTCGTAGCTCCCGAGGAATCTACCCGGATGTTCTAACCACGAAGGTTTCCAGCCCGGTCTATATCGCGGACGAAGCCTATATCCCCGTTCAGCTAGCCATTCGGAATGATCGCGCCACCATAACTCAGGTTCGGTCAACTCGTCCAGGACAACTTGAGGGATGGGTGATCCCATACCCCTAGATGACATCGCCTCGGTCATCCTGTATTCGATGAAGGGGATTCACAGAGAGGCACAGTCCAGAGGTATACCAGATGAGGAGGGAACGGGAGGGGCGAGGTTTCGGAGAGCGTGCACCGAGAGCGCCGGGAAAGCACGGGCGCAAATAAGGACAAATTATACATCTTCCTGGGCGCCGCTGTCCAGAAGTTGAACAACGTCGTGAACCATCTTCTACTGGGGCGTCCGGCTTATATTTCTCAGCCTATTGTAGTCTCGGACTGCCCCCCGTACACGCGTGAAAACTAAAAACACACGGCAATGTGAAGCTGCCATCAGCATCCCCTCCGTCTACTGCTGGCTGGCACTAGCACCGCTCCCTGCCACTAGTCAATCATCGTAGTCGCTCCTATCACGGAAGGCCTCTCTTTCTCAGCGGTCCAGGAGACCGTCCTAAACGCAGCTACCGCGGTTGCAGACCATACGGTCAACACTGAGCTTGGGCAAGCTCTCTCCGAGCTCATCGGTGATGCTACCGACGACGTTCCCGTCGTCAGGAACCTAGACAAGGCTGGCGACATTCTGTGTAATCCCAACTACAGACAAGCGCTCGAAGCGGCCCGACTTTACCATCCTATGGTTCGCGACCAGGGAAAGTAAGGAACTCGTCGGAACTTGTGTGGTATGTTTTGACACTGGTAATTTGTTATAGGCTGTTGCAGGAATCTCAGCAGAGTCGGAAAAAACTTGAGGCTGCGAAGCTCCTGGACATTTCAACGAAGTTCAGGCTCTACCAGTTCCTAGAGGATTGGCAGCAGAGTACCGACACACACATGAACGTCGTGTTGGTGAGTGGGTCTTATTTACCAAGACTCTTGAGGAGATCTGATGCTCTGTCGCCGCTCAGACTAAGTCTCGCTGGGTTATGATGGGCCTTCCTCTAGTCGATGGACAGATTCCTCCACTCCCCACACGCGTACAGCCGGCAGACGACCAGCATCCACCAGTGCTGAACTCTCCTTCGGAGCTGACCTTGGTCACAGGAGAGGAAGGTTGGTCGCTTTTCGCACTTTGAGCCATATACGTGTCTCACGGCTCTATCAAGGCTCTCCCCTCCAGGATGTCAGCAACGGGAGCAATTCAACTTTTGTAGATGATACTGATCGGCAGTCCATCGCAGATTCCATCTGGAACCCATGGGCGGGTGAGTCCAGTATGTCCAAGATCATGATCTTACGAGGTCTATGTTATGCAATACTCATGGCATGGCTCATCCAGGCGCGAGCCCACGCTCTGCCTAGCAGCATGCAACTTCTCCCTACGGCCCGGCACTAAGGATGTGATCACCGATTGGAAGATCAGGAGCGGTTGTCGGAGTCGTCATCTCGTTGAACGTGTATGCAGCGACGTAGCCATAGCCGGCTTTACGAGTACAGAATGCGATGTCAAGGACCATTGGAATGTGTATTCAACTATCTGTGTATTAGTCTGTCGAGCATGGCATTGAACAGAACATGGGACACGAATGAGTCGCGGTTGCGATAACTATATGGCGACTAGCCTCAACCCGCTCGCCGTTGAACGTTGAACGCTAGCGACGCTGCCTGCATCTGATGACTAATTCCCACGATTGCCACGGAGATCACTTACCGATATGTCAGATCAGCCGTCCGGTTGGTATGGAGCTTTGTGGGCGTATGGGAAATCATGTTAGCTTGGGCGGCTATGAGTCGATGCTCGGTTGTGGACGATTCTCATGGCGGGAGCGTATATTACATCCACTCCATCATTAGCGGTTTCTCGCAATGCAGGTTTTGCATGCTTTCGTAATAGTAACGTCTCACATGGCAAGGGAGCGGTCGCATTGCCTTACAGTAGGCTCGCTCCTGGACTTACTGCAGAGGCTGAAAAGTTTGGGTATTCTGCGGTGAGGCAACGAGTGACTGGACGTCATTATGCGCCTCTCATAGTCATGGCTGAGTTGGTAGTACTTGATAGGGCATATAGGAGCAGCAACGGCCAAGAGGTCTCTCACTGACATTGCTTTGACCTATCGAGGTGTTGTCTGAGCACGCGGGGCATTAACCACAATCGGTCACCCTGGGTGATGTTCTACAAAGCAGAAAGAGTAAGCGTCCGGGGCTCAGCCTAATTGAACAGGGAAACGTACACCCGGAGTGCCAATATCGCACGCACAGTACATTGCTATATCACTTCAAACAGACAAATCAACCGCTCTCATGGGGGTTAAACGGGATACTATGCAATGGCTGGGGCTGTAACAGTTCAAGTATAAAATATAACAATACTTAGTCCCAGGTCGCGAATGAGATATTGTGCGAAGGACTATGTACGTCGTAAGCATTTGACCGGCCTCAGAAAGTCGTGATGACGAACGTAGTCGAGCGCTTCTGCGTAACCAAAATAGTGAGTCGGTCGTCTCGGCCCGGCATCTTCCGAATTGTTGCCTTGAGCTGGCTGCTGCATATCGCCATGTTACGGTCTGACCGTACTCCCTCTGGACAGCTTCTGTGTTTCTAGGCTAGTGCAGTGACTTGAGGATTAGACCGCTGTATCCGCTTGCATGATATATGGTATAAAACTCCAGGCTCGTGTCAAACCACGAGATCCATCATGAGGTGCCTTGCGGACCACTGGACCAGGATACCATGCGTCGAATGAGGACTGGATGTCATAATGGAGTCTGTGCCTCGCAATGTCGGTCCGGAAGCAGATATAGATGTCTGGTGCCTGTTAGAGGACAAGGATGTAGGTGAGAGTGCCCGCTGACCTGGATTCATCACGCTCACGGCACCGTTCTCAATGCTTCCGCAGCAATTTGTCCGTCGCCGCTACCGACCTCATGCCCTCGGCTTCTGGCATGCTTGTACTCTCCTTGAAAGCACATCTGGCTCCTTGTCCCTGGCTGCCAAGCCACTCCCCAGTAATGGAGCTGTCGCCATATCACCTGACAAGGCCAACGTATAACGGCGCGGGTGTTCTTACGGGTCATCGTGTTTCCCGCATTACGTCTTAGAATGTGGTGTCATTCATCGGATTCGTGGACTCTATCAGCCATAACGCCCCAGCACGGGGGTGCACGTCGCAGGAACGGGTGTGCGTTCAGGAGCGCATCTATCATGTTGGACGTGATCCTACTAGATGGCGCTCACCTCACGAGATCGGGTAAGAGGATCGAAATCCTGCCGGCAGCGAAGCATTGGTTGATTCATATGACTGAGGTCTGTTCATTTCGAGAGGCTGACTCGTGCGCATAGACATCACCGCGGAGCCCAAGCGGTCCGCATCGCGGAGATAGTTGTTGGTCTCTTGTCTCGCTTGAGACAATCGACGAGCCGCAAGCGATCGGCGGTGGACTAAGCGTTGTCATTCACCACGTCCATCAGGTCTCAGGGTTGGGGGAGAGCATGTGAGTCTGGTAGCCGTCCATCGGGCTCCGCTTCTTCCCTCTGAGGAGGAGCGCCGCCACCGAGTGCCGTGCACATCACGCGCACGATGACCTTGTATTGTTGAGCGCTGCTATGCAACCAGTGATTCTATCCGTGGGGGCCGAATAGCCATGCCTTGAGCGTGTACGCGATGTCGGGTGTTTTGGCACCGCGTCCGACATGCTGGCTGTAATAGCCCTTGTCTTTCACCGACCTCCTACCTGGTTACTGATGCTTTCGTAGAGATGATTACGATTCTTGCCGACATGTATTGACTCATGTCCTTGCGTTGTGATATTCCCTACCCGGAAACGCTCTCGCTCCGCTGATGCATTTTTCGGTCGGCCAGAAGCCCTGTATGAATGGCGCATCACCATGGTTCCATGTCCACGTTTGGAACATCAAAGGCGACCTCTGAATTGTATTGGACGGAAGAACAACGTGTTCTGTCATGAAGACGAGTAGCCTACAACGAGGTATGTAAACCTCTGGGATATCGGGCCAGGGAGGTATCAAACCTCCCAAGCCCCTTGCACGTGCTGATACCTTACCAGTGGCCCCAGTGTCGCCCTACCGACCGTCCGTGCGCCCTCCTGTCCCATCAATTAGAGATAGACGACGCGTGAGCACGCGTTCATGTGCCCCTTCTCAATACGATGACGCTCAAACACTCCAGTACGCCGCGGTAAGATATAAGGCGGCAGAGATGGGGTACGAAGAGCAAGGGACGGAGAACATATTGAACGGTGTGGACAGAGCAGGGGAGGAGGGACTGTTAGCTGGAGCAGTGGGGACGCATGTCATCGTATGGCGCTAATCACAATGTATGTCATCGTGTGGCGCTAATCACATTAA